TGGCAGCGCTTCCCCCAAGATAAAAATAGGCTTTGTAAACGCAATCTGACGATTATTTCAGACATCGATGATTGCCTCAATGTCAGCTGCAAACACGGCGGTTCCTGCATAGATGGAATAAACAATTTCTCCTGTTCTTGCCCCTCTGGGTATACTGGAATATGGTGTGAAACCGGTAAGGAAGAGAATTTACTTGTGCAAGAAACAAAAACAAAAAGCAAAAAACAAATGCAAGCGGGCCATGTAATGAGGAGATGTACAGCATGCTCTTATTCTCTTTTTTTAAGGTTATTAAGAGGACTTCTTTGGGTCTTCCTCTGAGCCATTGTGCCTATCTCTCTCTCTCTCTGTCTTTCTGTCTGTCTGTACGTCTGTCTTTATGTCTGTCTGTTGTCTGTCTGTTCGTTTGTCTGTCTGTTGTCTGTCTGTTGTCTGTCTGTTGTCTGTCTGTTGTCTGTCTGTTGTCTGTCCGTTTGTCTGTCCGTTTGTCTGTCTGTTGTCTGTCCGTTTGTCTATCTGTTGTCTGTCTATTGTCTGTCTGTTGTTTGTCTGTTGTCTCTCTGTTGTCTGTCTGTTGTCTGTCCGTCCGTTTGTCTACGTGTCCGTCTGTTTGTTAGTCTATCGGTTTGCCTTTCCTCCCTCTTGCTCTCCACTTTCGACCTGTCTCTGCTTCTCTGCTTCTCTCTTTCGTGTTCACTACAAAACCATTCTGTCGTTCAAGTTGACTACATCTTAATTCGGTGTTTTTGTTTTACCATTTAAGACATTGATGAATGTGTCTCCAATAAATGCGCGAATGGTACAACCTGTCAGGATGATGTCAATCAATACACCTGCTTGTGTCATGAAGGGTTTACAGGGCATTTCTGCGAAAATGGTAACATTTGTTTTCATAATAGTACATTCATGGTGCAATTTATTCTAAACAGATTATTTGCTTAAGTAGGTGGTCGTCGCTTTCATCTATTGACGCCCAATGTCTCTATTCAATTAAATATAAGTACCGCCTTAAGATTTATGATATGACTAACACCTTTTGCATGTTATTACCACAAAATAAGCTTTCGAGAACCCAGGTATCAGGTTCATTAACATTATAATATTTTCATTTTAACGAGTCGTCTTTTATTTGCGTTGCTCACAAGTTCTTAGGCAGTTTTTCATATTCACAAAGTTATATTTACAGTTATAGGCAGTCATTTACACTATAGAGCATTCTGTAGCGCTAATGTACAAACAGTAACGCCGTTCTTTCGTTCAATAAGTAAGCAATTGTATCTTTATGAAAATGTAGAAATGCTTAAAGAATTTTAAAACAAAATTAATGACGAGTCGTGAAAGTAACTAAATTTTAACGCCAATGAACCTGATACCCGCGTTATTGAAAGAATATTCTTCCGTCAGGATCAGCAAAAAATGTAACGGTGATGAGTGCGTTTACTATAATTTCAACCATTATGTACCATTAAGATGCTTAGGTAGCATCAAGATATAATGGCGAGATCATGGTAATTATATTAAATATATTTTCACAAACAAATTAAACGTCTTAAGCACTGTACTTGCTCTCTCATCACAACTTTGTATGGAAAATTAACGAGGCTTCAGATAAAGCCAAAGAAAATTAGTTAGCCCTCCCAATTTTTGCCATCTTGTCTAAAAGTCGACCTATGATGAGCGAAAATTTGATCAGCACTAATATTCATTGACAAGGAAGCGTTACTATCTACTAATCAGAGAAAATAAAAAATAAATGAAACTAGCTTTCTTACTAAAGATCTCGCAAGGAAATATACCGCTCCTTCTTTCAACATTCTGTAGAGGAGGGGGGACCTGATCGCAGATTAGGTGCTAGCCACTGATGGAAAGTGAAAATTCAAATTACGTTTTCCCGACAGTATTGTTTTCCTTCCTCGTTGAACACAGAAATACCATTTGCAACGCCACCTCCTACAGAGAGTAGCAGCACTGAAAAGCCACCCACAGGGGATACATCAAGGCCTACATCCGCAGAGAGTATCAGCACTGAGAAGCCACCCTCAGAGAGTACCTCAAGACCTACAACCGCAGACGTGGCAGTTGAACGCAAGACGGGTGTGTAGTTGAAAACGTAGTATCCTGCTCTCCAATATTAGCATAAATTTATTAGGTAACTATTAGCTACCCTGTTCGTTATCTACTCTGTTCTAGGCAATGAGTGGCGGTTGTTCACAAAGTGAATGCCTCTTCTTCGCATTCTTGAGGTGTCCGCGAGGAGGATTTAGTTAATTTACTTAATTGGCTTTGAAAGACTGGTAGATTTATACTAAATCAATTAGATTATTCGATCTCAATTTCTATGCGTGATCGATAGATGACTGAGCTGCACCCTCGTCAGCTATAACGCGATAGAAAACGCCAACTCATAATCTAATGAGGTAAAGATACGCAGATCGTTAGATCGGCAAAAAGTATTTTTTGTTATTTACTTTTACAGTGTTTGACATATTTTAAGTTCCATATTTTATTGGCGCCTTCTTAGAGAGGTGATTTATTTTGGATTTGTAATTTGCACGCTCACTACTATGTTATACTCTTACATGTAAAAAACATTTTACCTGTAGATTTTTCTATTGAAATACGCGTCTCCGAAGAATGGGATGATCGTTTAACTGACACAAGTAGTGAGAAATTTAAAGAACTGGCAAATCGGATGAAGCAAGAGGTATATATATTTAAAAATCATAGTAAGCTGTTGCCCTGAAAGCAATATAGCCTTGCTTTATTTTAATTTTGACGTGAGTGTGGACAACGGATATCACGGGATTCAAAACTATTAATCTTTGATTAATCATAACATTATTTTACAATATCTTCGCGAAATTCTGATTGCCGAAGCTAAGACAGTATTACTCATCATTATATTGAAAAGGAAAACCTCATGAACATTTACTTTCCACGCACATTTACATACGCTTACTACAAAACTAGTTTCGTCTACAGACCTCTTCAGTTGTACGCGATGTATCGTTAAAACATTCAAACCTAAGATGAGTTCATATAACATTACACGAGTAATAACCTGGTATCTAGTTACATAACAATGTCGCTAAAGTAAAACTGATAAAACAATAACAGTAAAAAATAACATAGCAACAACGCTAAAGTAAAACTGATAAAACAATAACGGTCAAAAATAGCAAAAGACTAGAATTCGGTTTCACTGTGCAATAGTCATATGATAAAATGTTTGTAGCCTCATTTCACGATTGTGTGACAACAGCCCTCGGGATCCGGAAATAACTCCACTCGCTTTTCGTGTTTATCAGTTGATCTTGTTGAACTTTACTTATTTGGATTGATTTCGAGATCTTGGCTCAGCATAGCGTCACCCCGAAAAACTCCCGGGACGTTCATTGTGAAGCCTGGTACGTTACCGTCATGTTTCTCATAGGAATGTCTCCATATCCCCCAACTTTTCTCCCTCTGTTCCAGAGCTCGCAGGTGTTCCTATCCGCGGGTGTATGCACTTCGTGATGTTTCCCCAATGTATTAATTGCGGCAGAGTTGACATACCAGCTCATAATGGACACCGATACTTCGGCAAGGTCCTTATCCCCCGGTGCTGCAAACCAGACAGTTCATGTTGTTGTATTCATTTTCCCTGAACGGGTCTGACCTTTACAACATCCGCTTGAGGGTCACACCTGATTGCTCGACTACTTTGATCTTGAAACCCGCTCCCTTAATCTCCTCTCTCCTCTCTGTATCGGTTTTTTAGCAGAGACCCTGGAGTTGCTGACACGAAGATCACTGTGTCAAACCCTCCCTTTCTGTACCACAATTCCCACTTTCCTCGTCTCTCTCGATCCCGTTCTAACCGTTTCCATTCTCTCGGTCTGTACAATAAATAAACGAATAAATAGGTTTTACAATAAATTTTACAATAAATGAATGAGTAATAAATAACAGCAAAAAGTACCAACTGTCGTATTCCATTTTAAAGGCGATTTAATGACTATATACATACATTTGTTTGTTTTCACAGCTGTAAATCATTTCTAGGCAATTTTGTCGCTTTTTGGAGGAGTTGGAAAAACTGAAACGGTGAAACGGAAGACCCTAGCTGAATCAAGGGAGATTAGATAAAGGAAACCAAGATATATCAGTTCATATTCACTTGAGGAAACATATATGTTTAATTACATCTTTTATTGCAGATTCGGAAGGCGTATTCTGGAGACTTTAAATTGAAAGAAGTTGTAATAATCTCAATGAGGTAACACATCTTGTTTTCTAGTATTACCGTCTGCCATAAGCACTATACGATTATTTTAACGCTTATACTATTATAAGCTGTTATCTGTTTTCTTCTTCCGTTCTTGCTTGATATGAATAAACGAACGAACTAAAGAACAGACGAACGAATGACTAAATGAATGAATGGATGAAAGGACAAACGGATGAATGGATGAATGAATGGAAGAATGAGTGGATAAATGAATGATGAACGTATGGATGAAGGAAAAAATTGCTTCAAGAACTAGCACTATGGACTTACCAACAATAGTTGCTCCTGCTTCAAATTCCCAAAAATGCCCAGCACTTTATGCTACTTTTGTCTGTTTGTTTTTCTCAGAAAGGGTAGTATAATAGCAGAATTTCAACTGAAGTTTGATAAAGAAGTAACGGCAGAAGAGGTCCTTGCTCCGCTGAAAAAAGAAACAGCCGATGGTAAACTGGGAAGTTTGAAAGTTGACCCAGCCTCTCTCAAGGAAACTGATCGCAAGAAAGGTGAGATGTTGCGTGTGTTCTTTTGTGTCTGTGTTACTGGAGGCCACGTTTGGGGACTGGCGTAATGGAAACACTAAAGTTATGCAAATTGCCTTTAAATGATAAAAAATCATCTAGCATAACAAAGTGCAGGTACATCAGTTTCACATTTCTCCCCAAATATTAAAGATCGCAGATTTCCTCGCAAAGGCAAGTTTAAACAAGGCAAAATGACAACAAAGTATTGTAAATTAGCGTTTCGTTTAACGCGAGATTTTATCATCAAACTGTGTTGCGCTGCCTACCCAAAGGCTACGTGATCAGAAAAAAAGTTGTGGATGCAGAGTAACACTTCTGTGCATGTTACTCTTAATAAAAATAAAAAAAATATCCAAAAAAACATAGAATACTTGTGGTTTTCTGTGAGTAACGAAGCTATCTGACTCGTCTGTGTTGATAGTTAGCCTT